CATTCGATGTTTCTTTTGTGAAGACGACATTGATGTAACTGATGATGGTGGAGTTTTGATTGATTGTGATGATGATGTGCTTGATTTTCTTTCTTGTTGATATGATGCAAGAGATGGTGATAATGAGGTCACTGATAACGGACGTTGTGTGGTTGAGATTAAGGTAGATGGCGTATATGATGATGGGGGTGATGATAATGCACGTCTTCGAGATCCATTGATAGATGCTTGTGTGTTATTACGTTTGTGGTTCAGATGGAATTGATCCACCTGAACCGCCCCGAGTCAACTGATGTCTTCCTGTAATGAAATGTCATCTCGGGCACTATTATCTTCTACGTCACTAACGTTTGCATCAGTCTCTTCTGCTATTATAGGTTCTTTTTGACTAATTGCTATTTCATTATTAGATTTTTTCTTTGTTATTGAAGTAGAAAAGTATCCCTGGGATAAAATTTCTCTGGCAAGCTCTCGTATCAATACAGCAGGATCTTCCCTACTCATACGAGAAGTGATCTCAAATAATCCATATCGTTCAGCTATAGCTTCACGCTGTGGGTGTACATCGCATATAGATCTTAATATTCTTAATAAATTTAATCTTACAACTGGTTTTGGATGTCCAAGTCGATGTAATAAACGCTTAAAGAATCTTGGTTGCGCAAGTGCAAAGGCGACAGATGTTGATAACTGAGTAATTATATGTAATGGTTCTAGGATATTTTCAAATGAATTCGCCTTGGCCATAATGAAGGCCTCCAAGATAAGTTCAATATTTTTTGGTAAAAGGAGTACTGATTCAACTTTAGATGTTTCATCTTGAATCCATGCAAGAATCGCCTCTAAAGCATTCACCTGATAAAAAGGGTCAACTAGCAAATCAAGATAAAGTTGTAAAATATTATGTTTCCATAACAAATCTCTACAACCTTGTCCAGTATGAGCCATATCACAAAGTATTGGTAATGCAAACTGTTTAAGAGGTGTTTTATTAGATGCAAAATATTGCAAATGGGGAATAATTCCAGCCTTTGCAGCTTCTTCTTGCCGTGATTTATTGATTCGACAAAGATTAAACATTGTGTTAAGTACTTGGTTGGAAATTTCAGTCACATAAGGTGGTCCTTGATTATCTAAAATTGTAGTAAGAACTTGAATTGCTTTTGCTCTCTGTAAAGCTTCCAAAGTATTTGAATTCATTGAAATATTCTTTATACATTTAAGCATAGCTACAATAAGGTTTTGTGGTAATTTGTCTAAACTATCAAATATTCTAGTGACAATCCTTGTTCGTGTTGCCATGACTTCTTTAACATATGCATCACCCTGTGAGAACATTAACAATATATTAACAATTCTTTCTACATACACACCAGCAGCTGGATCCTTATCCAAAATTACATGATGAAGCATGATAGCTAATGGATCCAATAGTCCATTTTTCGCCAATAGTCTACAAAAATCATTTTTCGGAGTTGGACTCTGAAGTTCAAATACTCCATATATTCCATTCACTGCTATCCATACTAATTCCTTGTGTTCGTTATAATCTTCTTGCAAAAATTCGACAAGAACTTTTAAACCTCGACAAGAAATAAACATTTGAAGAATAACAGGTGATGTATGACAGATCTGACGTATAAATATGGCAGCTTCAACACGAATTTCATAAGGATATCGCTTCGAAGTAAAGTTCATAATAACGGGTATTCCACCCACAAGACAGAGGTTTTCTTGAAGATTAATATTACTTGCAATAATTATATTGACTATTTTGAGTAATCTTGAAAGAACGCTTGCATATGAACATATTTCCAGCATTTCTATGATTGGAATTACACCATGAAAGATAATAAAGTGGTTTTTAAGCTCTTTATGTTCCGTCAATAAATCAATTATTTGAACACATGAGATTACCAATCGATCCTCGCTTTCATTAGGTTGTAAAGCATTAATTAACTCTTCTAATCGCGAACAAGCGCGCGCATACTTATCCATGGCAATATGTACATTTATATCCATTTCTTCAAAATTTTCCTCCATCTTTGCGAATGGATCATCTTCATCGCTCATATCGTTCCCAAACCAGCTATTACTTGAAAGCAATGTATTTAATTTCAACGTATTACTAAAGCCATCCTCTTCA